CCCCCAAATACTAATGGAGTTAAGGGGCACGAAGCTGCGTCATACTTCGCTGATACATTAAGTGTCTTCATTTTTACCAGGAGTTTCTCCGAATTGTTCTCTTCCTGTGCTCTTAGCCCTACAACACCCTCAGTTGTTTTTTCACCCTCTTCTTACCTGCATGACTGCGACGCCCTGTTTGTCAGGGGCAAGCTGCATACATCAGCCATCAGTGGGCTTAAGTGCCCCTGGTGGGGGCCCTGGTAGTCTTGAAATGGTTAATACTGACCGAAAGGACTCTGATCCAACCAAACAAAACCAGCTCTGTAAAGGTGTGATTTCAACACGGAGCGTTTGGGAAAAAACGACGGGATATTCGTGTCGAATTATGGCGACGGTTCAAGACAAAGCACAACGACCGAACATAAAGGTCAAAGTAGCTATCTTTTATCGGCTCAAGATTTGCTGGGCCTTAAAAAGCTGCTTTTTGAACAATAATTTTGTGGTGATGCTGGTAAAAATGAAATTCGAAAACGTTTTCGGGATGCCTTCAATAGCCTCATAGTGAAGCTACCCGCCGTGCAGTGAGAAGTGAGGCCTCGTCCGGCAGTGATGCTGGCCATCTTTGTTTGTACACTGTACGTCAGTTAGCTGCACAGTGAATTCTCTAAGCTGTTACCCAAGAACAGGCAACCAGAAGTGCCCCTCCTTCTATTCTAGCTGCACGACACACCGTATGTTACACCAGAAAACATCAATTTAAGTAAAGGCACTTCCAGCTAGGGAGCAAAAGCAAACTAAAAGAAGCATAACCTGAGACAATGCACGTTCAGTAGGATTAGTATCATGCAATAGGCATACAAAATCATGAAAAAGGGTTCAAGTAGTCATATCCAAGCCAGCAAATTACAGCCTCCTAAGACTCATCCAAAGCCACCAGTATTCATCCAGTGTCAGTAATGGGTACCAGCCTGACTTGACGGGTGGCGGATGGTGCGCTGCGTACCCATCTCAGAGACGTGCATCACTCGCGACTGTATGCGCTGTTGATCCTCGCACATCGGGCACTTGAGTTGAATTCGGCGCTGGATTAAGGAAAAACATGGCCTTCTGCTATCATTCTGATCTATTTCAGGTCAGCAGGGAATTGCACAACCCAACAGCCATGCAGAACAATTTAAGCATCGCATCAATATGCACAAGCAGACTTGTCCGCCGGGTGCGAAGACAGTGTGGATGAGCACTTAAGCAGCACAGGAAGACCGTCGTCATCGGTAACGCGTCATGACAAATATATTTTAAAAATCATCGGTATTAGAGTCAGTATATGTATTTGTGTCCGCATCAGTGGCCATAGCCGTATTTATGGCCGTAGCGGTAGCCGTAGCCGTAGCCGGGATAGCCGTAGCCGAAGCCGGGATAGCCGTAGCGGCGGCCGTAGCCGTAACCGAAGTTGCCGAAGCCGAGGCTGTTGAGACCGCCGAAGCCTCCGAGGCCCACGCCTCCGTAGCCGCCGTAACCGAAGTTGCCGAAGCCGAGGCTGTTGAGGCCGCCAAAGCCTCCGTAGCCCACGCCTCCGTAGCCGCCGTAACCGAGGTTGCCGAAGCCGAAGCCGTTGAGGCCGCTGTAGCCGAGCCCGCGGAGGTAGCCGGCAGTAGCCGTAGCCACCAGGCACAGCAGGATAACCAGCTTTGAAGGA